TTATACTGTGGGGGAGGGACATACAAAGCAACAAAGAGATAATCTTATAAATGCGTTAGAAACACATGCATGAAAGAAAAAAACATTAAAATACACATCTAACGGTTCATGTTCCTGACATCACATTATCTGCCTGGTCAACTCTTAACAGTATTATAATAAAAACAGAGGACATTTTTCATTGTTCCAAGCTGACATTTTCTACTATACCACTTAGAAGTCAAAATACATACTTGGGTATGTATTAGTGAACATCTGTAATCTCAGCACTCAGGAGGCTGAGGCAGGATAATCCTGAGTTTGAGACCAGCCTCGGTTACCAGTAATACCTGTCTTAAAGCAAAACAAAACAGAACAAAAACTTAAAGTAGCTACATTAAGTAGAGGACACTAACAAGTAGTCATTTTGAAATACTAAGATTCCATAAACTAAGTGGAATTATTCACGAAACCTTTTATTATTTTGAAATTTTATTTAGATGAAACTTGATATGTATGGTGAAAAAAAATTACACTGCAGTAAGTTATAGTCTAATGGCTGCTTTAGTTACTTACATATATTTCTGTTTGCTGAGGTCTGAAGTTCCACTGGAGACTGGCATGCACATCTGCATTGAAGGTCACCTTAATGATCCGGTCCTTAACAGGCACCATGTTTTCAATCTGGTCTGATGCATGCCCTGCTACTGCTGATCCACCAAGTCCTGTAGTCTAAAAAGAAAGATACTAAGTTAATACTTTTGGAAATTGATTTATTGAATAAAATTAAAACTTTAAAGATACCTTAATATTCTAGCTGAAGCCAAGTTTATGCATTATCACTGACCATTTCCTATACCTAGCAATGGTTTGCCCACTTGGGGGTGAAAGAGCCTGTTATTTGTTACATGCTTTTCAGCAATCCCATGGTTATCTGCCTTGGGTCAAAAATGAATCCTTTGGGAAAATCAGATCATATAGATAAGCAAACAACCGTCACTAATGCTACAACTCAGATTTTCCTGCTTAATCTTGTTTTGCTGGTCCTGGGCTTTGCTCAAGGCAAGTGTTCTACCACTTGCCAAGGAGCCACTTTCCTGTTTTTAAGTAGTTTATTGGAGCCAAGAGTCTCAGGGAGTTTTCTGCACAGGTTGGTTTGAACAACAACCCTGAGATCTCAGCCTCCTGAGTAGCTAGGATTACAGGTGTTAAGCAAACAGCTCCCAGGCTCTGCTTAATCTTTTATTAAACATACTTTCCTTTATTGTTAGTAACTTATATTAACTACTATTCGTGACCTTTCATTACATGGCCTAGTCATATCAATGAAAACAATATGTCCACTTTTCTGTGATCCTGTCTGATCCTCTTCCATATCACATCTTTTATAGTTCAAACTAATTTGTCAGTCTGCTTTTCTAAGGCATTTTTCCCCAGCCTGGTTAATGTTTTGTATAATTTTCTTACATCTCTGCATAGATCTACTGTTTTTCATCTTTTATAGGTATCAACAGTTAATCAGAACCTGATTTCTTTGGTCACTGAATCAACCTTTCATAAAGCATAAAAGTAACGTAGGTCTCACACTTCTTCCTTGCCATCATTTTATCATCAGATGCTTTAAAAAGAAAAAGAAAGAAAGGTTCTTACTTCCAAGGCTGCTGTTCTCCTGATGTTTGAGGTTGCCAGAATTTTGGTTTCCAGATATTTACCTGCTGCTATACTAGGAAAATATACACCAAATCTGCAGCCAAGAAAAGGCTCCTAGCAAGACATAATATTACTGTTTTTTGCTTCTTATATGTTGCCTCGCTGCACTCAACTGCCATGCAGCATTGTCAAATTATATTTTTAACAATAAAAGATGCATCAGAGAACAAGTCTCTATCTGTAAGATATACACATCATCTTCTGCTTCAGAGTGAGCTCCTTTTCCTTAAGAATTTAAGTCTCTTAAATTAAAAATGTGTCCTGCTTCAAAAGATTCCCTAATATATTCTATGAGTATAGATCATTCAAGTTTGTAAGTTAAATTCTTTACAAAATTAAAATAAAAGAAGTTGAAAAAACGTCATGGTCAAGTTCTGCAACTAACTGAATAAATCTTATCTTTTTTATTTTTTTGGTCAGTCGTGGGGCTTGAACTCCAGATCTGGGCACTGTCTTTGAATTTTTATGCTTAAGGTTAGTGCTCTACCAGTTTAAGCCACGGCTCCACTTCCAGTTTTCTGGTGGTTAATTGGAAATAAGAGTATCATGGACTTTCCTTCCCCAGGCAGGCTTTGAACCATGATCCTCAGATCTAGCCTCCTGAGTAACTAGGATTACAGACATGAGCCACCAGTGCCAGGCCTAAATAAATCTTTCTTTGGTTATATCTTATGTGTTCATAAAATGAGGTCACTGTATTAAAGTGGTTTAGGCAATTGGTTATTTTTTGCTCTAAAACACTGTGATTCCAGAAGTAGATTTGTTCTTTTGGAAATACTATTGCTTAATATCCAACTTGCTTTTAGGATTACAAAACACACAATTTTAACCTACTTGTCCAATTTGCAATTTGTCAATTACTTCAGTTTGGAGCAGGGTTTCTCAAATCTCAGCACTAACAATACTTTGGGTAGGCTAATTCTTTCTTGGAAAGGTGGGGCTATTCTCTACACTGCTAGATATTTAGCAGCATCCTTAACCTGGACCCATTTGATGTCAGAAGCATCTTGTCCCACTATTCCCCACACCTCAGGTTGTTACAACTAAAAATGTCTTCAGGCATTGCTAAATGTTCTCAAAGGAGCAAAATTATTCCCTCTTCAGTCCTTTGTAGAGAATCTAGATTTTTTATTTTGATTTAGTTCTGCTTATAATCTAAACAACTGAAAGTTTGAGGGTTCACACTTTGTCCTCTCTAGCCTCCTGCAAAAAGAAATTCACATTCTATACTCATTCAAGCAATCAAGCTTGAATCAAGTACATTCCCACTCAAATGCTAGTTTTAGGAGCAGAAAGAAATGCCCTTTTGGCATTGGCTCTTTCATCTTTTGAAAGGTAAGCTAGTCTCAGTAAAGCTAGGGAAAGTAAACCCTACATTAACAATGGTGTCAAGGAAAGAGCAATAAACCCTGCCATGAATACTAATCATAGGATTAAGTTAGTGACCTTCCAACTCTGCTTCATGCTGAGAAATACCTGAAAATTATAGATGCCCAATTCTCAAACACTTGGATGTAAGGCCCTTGACATAACTTAAGGGTTTTTAAAAGCTCTCCATGTAATTCTACAGCAGTGTTTGAAATTCAAACACTGCTGTACACTGTACACTAATTGAACTCAATGTAACTATACACTGTATACTAATAACTCAATATAACTCTCACTTGTAGCATGATTTTGAACTCAAGGTCCTGTTTCCTATCTCCTGACCTAACCAGAAGCTCAAGTGGACAAGCCTTGTCATGTGTATTTAAGAATTTCCACAGGTGGTTCTAAAACCCAGCCAAAGCCTGCAAACTAGTAAAGTGCTAACCTTGAGCTGAAGAGCTTAAGGACAGTCCCCAGGTCCAGAGTTCAAGACCCACTACCAAAAAAAAAAAAAAAAAAAAGCCAGGCAAGCCAGGCACTAGTGACTCACACCTGTAATCCTAGCTACTCGAGGCTAAGCTCTGAGGATCACTGTTCAAAGCCAGCTCGAGCTGGAAAAGTCTATATGACTCTCACCTCCAATTAATCACCAGAAAACTGGAACTGGTGCTGTGGCTCAAACTGGTAGAGAGCTAGCGTTGAGCAAAAGAGCTCAGGGATAGCACCAAGGCCCTGAGTTCAAGCCCCATGATCAACCAAAAAAAAAAGAAAAATTCATGGAGAAATTTGTAAAATAAGCTAAACTAGACATTAATTGGTTGGTAGACATTAATTTGCCTCTAACTCAGCCACAGTACTTAGTAAAATACAGGTTGCTGTTTTCTTCCCTTTAGGATTACTAATTCAGTCAATCTGGAGTTGGGTAGAGGAATTTTAAGTTTGATCAGATTCCTGAGTGAGGTTGATGCTTCTGGGTTTGGGAAACGTATTCAAATGCACAGCACTATTTCTGATCTAAAGTGCTTTGCACGAAGAAGAAGAAGAAAAAAAAAACAGAGGCATTACACCTCTAACTTTCTTTGGATGAACTTCCAGTTAAAACAGCACGGAAACCACATGTGGTTCAGAACATGAATGTGTGAATACAGGTTAGATATTGAAAAGCACAGGCCGGCGGCTGGCTGGGTTAAGCGCAGCGGAGGCTGCTGAAGCTTTTTGGTGAGGTGGAGCTCCGAAACCAAGAAAGGTCATTGAGAGATGGGAAGATGCTGGCTCGCTACAGCAACTCATTCACTTGGAGCTTTTTTTTTTTTACCCTCTCAACTCACAGCCTGATGATGACCTTGGGCTGGTCACTTTGCGTAGTAAGCCTGCTTCCTGTTCTACAGATAACCTAGGATAGACCTGGAGTGATTGATGGCTGAGGGGCGGGGGGGGGGAGGGATCGGCCTGTACCCTGCGCCCCCCATCCCCCAAAGGACCCAATTTCTGCATTGATTGACCCGGAGGGAGGGTCAATTGGACCCGGGGGGGGTCCAATCTGTATACACACACACGCACATCTGCACCCCACCCTCCCCGGCCCGGCGGACCCCTTACCTGGCAGTAGAGCCGATAGAGGGGCACGGCGGCGTACGAGGCCCCCAGCATGCCCACGGCGGCCGCGGCCACGTAGGTGAGCAGCGTCCGGTTCCGCCGCCGCCATTCGTCCTCCTGCGCCCGGGCGAAGCGGTTCGTGCTCTTCGGCCGCCGCGGCGCCTCCGCGGCCGAACCCCAGGCCGGGCCCGGGCGCCCCCACGTCCCGAGCCGCCTCGCAGCCTTCCCCTCAGCTCCGGCCTCCGTCCACCGGGGCCTAAGGAAAGGTCCCACCCGCCCGGCCGACCCAGCTGCAGGGGGGCACCGGCGCCAGCCACCGCACGCGGCGCGGGCCCAGACCCCAGGCCAGAGCCCTCCCATCACCCCGTCTGGAGAGGGGCGGGGGGGCCCCGGCCAAGTCTCGCGAGGCTTGCGCCCGGGTCTCGCGATCCCTGGGTAGAGCCGGCCGCTGGCTGCCTAGGCTACGGGACTCCTCAGACAGCGGGCGCTACGGAGGCCGGGCGGCCAGGTGAGGGTGAGTTCGCGTTTCGCTTAGTGGCTGTGCCTGTCATTCCCGCTCTCCCCCGCGCCCCCGCCACACCCCGGGTCTGTCGGTAACTTGCGGGAGGAAGGTGCGTCTCGGATCTCGGCGCGCGAGCTCGTGGTCGCTCGGGATGGTGCTTTCCGCCTTGGTGCGGACCTCCCTCGCGGCCCCCAGCGGCCGGCTCCGCCCGGGGGCCGCGCTCGGGTGCGGGGCTTCCGGGGCCCACCCCGCTCCCCCGCGGCTCTCCGCGCCTGCGTGTGCTCCGGCTTCCAGGAGTTGGATGCTTCTTGGCTACTTAACCCGGGAAAACCGCCACCCCTGGAGCCGGGAGGAAAAGTGTGGTCCAGCAGGGAGGGACCAGGATGGGCATCTTGGGTGTAAAAGGAAAAACGAGCAGGAAGGCTGTGGTAGCTTTCTTCATTGTCCCGAGTGAGGTCAGCCAGTGCCATCCTAGGCTGACATAGTAGCAAGCATCCTATTTAGGCTAGGCATCTATGAGTTCTGACCGGGGTTCTCACCATGGCCCTGGCTCTAGACCAGTTATTTGACCTGGTGGCCTTAGGCCCCCTTCCCACCCCACCCCCCCACTGGATTCAACTAGGTAACTTTTATTAAAAAATAATCATAATGTGATAACTGTGGAAGAGTTATCACGGAGTTAACTATTTTGAGCAAAATCTCATTCCATCCTCTAGCTCGAAACATTCGTATCTTAGAAGAAATAAGAATCCCCCAAGAATGTATGCTCCCACTGAAACGTGTAAAAGTTATCTTTCATCTATGTATCTGAAGTCATTTTCCAAAACATTACCCAATGCAAAGCATGTGGCTAGTTAAAAGAGACAAACAGAAAGCCTTATGGGAGGATTCATTAATACAGGTGCATTGATCCACTGTCAAGTAGGAACTACTCGTAGTATATTATATTATAGTACTTAAAATAATGGGAATTCTTCACTCTATGATATACCATGTAAATAGTCCTTTTGCTCTTCACCATGGGTAGAACAAATTTTCTTTCTAGCTTGTGTCTATGAGCTCTCACCCTGTGTGCAGTTTTTAGATGTTTTTAAATATAAAGAAGTGCGTTTGGCCTTATTTGTGAAGTGGAAATCATAATAATAAATGAAGATAAGCAGATCACAGTGCCTGATGCATAGGATTTAGTTCAAGTTGAGGTTTATTTATGATGATTAAAGGAAAGTCTGATGATCCTACCTTTATGGATGAGGAAGCTAAAAGTCGGAGAAACTTAAAGTCATTCAATATGTATATGTTGCACTTTAACTGGGAGCTGGGCACTTTTGTATCTGTTGGGACTGTAGCCCAAAACAAGTCAGATAAGATCCCTCAGTTATCCATTACACTTTCTACTGTAGGACTCAGGAGCTCATCCTGTAACTGATGGATAAAATAAGGGAATGTGAGGTCTTTGCAATGAAGACAATAGAAGGGTTTCAAGTAACTGAGACTGATGAGGAGGAATGGTAGTAAAGTTATATCTTTATGAAGAGGTAAAAGATCTTTCTAGAAGTGATACTTGAACCTACCCCTGAACTATAAGGAGCTTCCTATGCAGTGTCAATTCCAGGACATATAAAGGCCCAGAGAAAAGAGCTAGATAGGACTGAAGACCCAAAAGAAGGCCAGTGTGTTCTAGCATAATTAGCAGAGCAGGCAGTGGAAGGAAACCGGGTCAGAGCAGGTATACAAAGGCATAGTTTTACAAAGCCTTTTAAGCCCTAGCCAAGGGAAGCCCTTTTGAAGCATAGGAATTCTTTATGTCAACTTTTAGAAAGGTGCCTCTTATAAAACATTGAATACGTTTGTATGGTGGACAGATAAGGTAAAATGAAAACCATCAATAAAAGGCATTTTTCCAATGCCTTTGTTCAAGTAACATTTATGAAGATCAAGGCCAGCTTCATGGATATGTGACTTGTGTGGCCATAGAAAACCCTGCTTTATTATGCTGAAGGTATCTTGTCTCAAAAAGCCAATGATTGCTATTTAGAAGCATTTGATTGGGCTAAGGGGAAGATTGTTTGTTACCTGTGCATCTCCAGAGGCAAAGAGCTGCATTCCTGAGCTGCTTGGATTCTAGAAAGAATGAACAGCTACACTTCCGCACTGCTTGGATTCCTAAAACTTTAAAAAAAAAAAAAAAAGCACTAGCAAAGGGAAATTGTCTTTGGGTACAGAGTAAAGGAGACTGTGAAATCAGTTATTCACTGACCTTTTAATGTCTTCATTTCCTGAAACTTTAACATTATTTAAAAACGATCAGTGAGGTTGAGCCCACAATAGATAGACATTTTTAACTTAGCCAGTATATATATGAAAACAACACTGATTATAATATAGCTGATGTTATCTTGGAGAGTCTATGCTGTGATATTGTTTCTAAATGCATTTGGTGGCTTTTTGTTTTGTTTTTTTGTTTTGGTAGCTTACTGGGCCTTGAATTCTGGGCCTCTTGCTCTCACTAGGATGTTTTTGTTCAGGACTGAGGCTTTTTTCACATACTACACTAACATTTCTGGCTTGTTGGGATTTTTTTTGCTTTGTTTGTTTTTGTTTTGTTTTGTTGTGGATTTTTTTGCTGGCTAATTGAAGATGAGACCCTCTTGGATCTGTTTGCCCTTGACTGGCTTCCAACCTCAGTCCTCAGATCTCAGCCTCCTAAGTAGCTAGGATTATAGGCATGAGCTTCTGTTGCCTGGCTAATGCTGTTGTTCTTCTGTTCCTTCATGGTCTGCATTTACGGCAAGAAAAATGTGAAATTTTGATATTTAGTGAGTAAATATGTAGTAGGCATTCTTTTCTTGTAAGTCTACATCGAATCCATATAGTTTATTTTCCAGTTAATAATCTTTATAATTATTTTCTTGATATCTAATGTCCTCATGTCTACTTCCTCTCTTTAGACAACATTAATATGAAACATATTCAGACTTTGCCCACCTCTTTGCTTGTCTCTCCCAGAAGATCTGAGTGCCGGCTGCCTTATCCCATTCATGGATCAGTGCATGACCATTTCAGAAAGAAAATCTTCCCCCTCAAGATATGTATATGAGCTTGTGGAGTGGTCAGCCAGATGTCATGCATTTATTTGCTCTTCATAGGTCCAAAAAGGAATGTTTAAAAATAATGTTATGAATGGTGTTGCCAGGCCATGCATGTGGCAGCAGAAATTGAGCTCAAGCCTTGTCTTTCAGAGGCAACACACTTCTACTATAAAGCCAGTGGCAGGGATCATTCTCTGATTCTTTCTTTTTGAACAGACTATAAGTGGTTGATTTCAGAAGAAAATTCAGATTGTTCTGTGAGTTTCTTTTCTTTGAGTCTTGTTTTTACACAGTAGCAGAAAATACATTTTTTTTTCCTACCTGTCAGTTTGTTCACACAAGAGTAATTATGAAGAATCAAAGGACATTGGCAGTTTTCTTTAGGAAAAAGCCCCAGCTATGTTGTTTTCCCGTTCAAGTCATAAAATTTGTCAGTAGCTTAACAAATGGAGAACAACAAGGAGGAGGACTTAAAGGGAAAAATGACATCAAGGTAAGAAGTGGCTGGAAGAAATAAATTAAATCCCAGATGTTAAGAAGGGGCATTCAAATATCCAGTAATCACTAACTGTTCCGTGACACATTCATGAATCAACAAGTATTTTGTGTACTTGTGCAGTCACCCTAGGAAACTAAAAAGCACTTACAGTACTCAGCCTCTTGAGTAGCTAGAATTACAAAGTGTGAGCTACCAAGCCCAGCTAAGACCCTGACTTGGGTTTACCACCATTACAGAGTAAGCTTTATTCTATAGACATTCGCTCTATTCTGAGACACGAGAGTTCATTGACCTCCCAGTTAAATACTTTGAAGAAAATGTAAAAGCATTTTGTCAAGGAAGTTTGGGAATTACATTCCTGCTTGCAAAGCTCTTGTGGGTTATTTTTATCTTTGCAACGATTGGTGAAAAAATCTTGTAATTGTTCATGATGTGTAGTATGTGCCTGTGTGTGTGTGCTGAGAAATGGGAAGGTGCACTTAGATGTGAACCAATATGCTGCAGATGCATAATTTTCAACAAAAAATTCTTGGATAAGAAGACTCAAAAAAATGTGGTATATATACACAATGGAATTCTATGCCTCCATCAGAAAGAATGACATTTCCCTATTTGTTAGGAAATGGAAAGACTTGGAAAAAATATTAAGTGAAGTAAGCCAAGCCCAAAGAAACATAGGTCCCATGGTTTCCCTTATTTGCAATATCTAGTACATATATGAGTCAAGCAGAAAAGGTCAGATAATGTGATGTTAGGAAAATGAACCCTTAGATATGTATTTAAATGTTTTTTCTTTCATGCATTTGTTTCTAACGCATTCATAATATATTTCTTTGTTGCTTTGTATGTCCCTACCCCACAGTATAACCCCTGCTTTCAGTATATTTGATGTCGGTATAATTTGTGGGGGAGATGGGGAAAAAAGTCGTTTAAGGATACAGGTGGACCCGTTGCAACTATGAGAAGTACAAGTTGTCAGGTGGAAAATGAACTTTACAACTTTGGTGTGTGTGGGGGGGGAGGCATTGGGTGGGGGGGCGGGGGGAGGCTGGGAAGGGATGTGAAGGGTAAACAAAGGAGGAGGCTGCAATGCTTGATAAGAAATGTACTCATTATCTTGCCCATGTAATTGTAACCCCTCTGTGCAGTATGTTCACAAAAAATTAAAATTAAAAAAAAGACTCAAAAAGAACACAATGAAGATAGAAATCACAATTCCCATTGTTTTGCGTTTTTTAAACCGTGATAGAGGTTTTGAAGTTAATGTATATATATATTTTTTTTAAATCAAAAATAACTAAAGAAATTTGGCTAATGAAAGAACGTGAGGGTATTTGTCTTCCCAGGTATCAAGACATATACTATAAAAAAAAACCTCTGTGATTAAAATAGATTGTAGTACATGAATAAACTGACTGACCAAA